GGCTGGGAGGCGGATGAGGTGATTCGGTTGCAAAATATGCTGGGATCGGGGCCTTGCCTGCACAATGATCAGAAGGACTCCATTAGTTGGAAGGCTCACCAATCAGGAGTGTTTAAAGTTGGAGATGCCTACGATTGGTATGTGCAAAGTCTTGGCCGTGTGCATAGTGTAACAGATTTAGTGTGGAAGAACTTTGAACCTCCAAAGGCCCAATTCATTACTTGGCTTGCTTGGAAGGGTAGGCTGAAAACCTCTTCATTTCTTAGCAGAATAGGAGTCTTAACAGGGTCTGAATGTGTGCTGTGTAAAGCTGAGGAGGAAACTGCTAGCCATCTCCTTCTGTTCTGTCCCTTTTCGTGGAATGTTTGGTCTAAAATCATGGTCTGGTGGGGAATTCAGTGGGTAATTCCAGGCTCGGTTGAGGAGCTGATGCATTGGTGGTTGGGGTGGAAATTTAGGAAAAAGGCAAAGCAAGTCTGGAGAGCTATCTTCATCTCTGTGATTTGGTCTTTATGGAGATACAGAAATGACTGCACGTTTAACAATACCCAACCTGATATTGAGGAGTTGTGTGAGGTAATAAAGGTAAGAGTGGCCATATGGGTAAAGTACTATGGGATGGGATGTGAATACTCTATTCATGAGATTATTGCAAATATCAAATGGGTGAGCCAACATATTTAAGGGTGATAGTTTGTATAGCATTGGGTTGCTGTTGGGGGAGTTGCTGCTGTCTGCTGGGGAGTTACTGTTGGGTGTGGTGTGTTTGCTGCTGTCTGATGGGGAGTTTGGGTGTATCTAGCTACTGTTGGAGTATTTGGCTTAAGTCTGTTTGGGTATTGGTTGTCTCTCTGCTGGCCAAGGTTTGAGTTGGTCTGCCAAGGATTGAGTGGCTTGTGGTACTCCTGTTACTGCTCTGGAGTGTCATGCTGTTGTGTGGTCATTATGGTGCACATGCTCATTCTCACATTTCTGCTGATATTTATTGGATGTCTGGTGGATCCCCCATCTGCTCTGCAGAATTTGTTTCCATCTGTTATGCTTGGCTTTCATGGTTGGGTAGGAGTAATTTCAGTAGGCTATGTTTAGTTTTGCAGAAGGCTGTGTTTAGCTCTTGGTTTTGTTTACCCTGTATGAGATGGTCCACCGTACGCGAGGCCCCCTACAATAACCCTGATGTCTCCCAATGAGGGTGCGGGCCCTCCTTGGGCTTGAGGTTGTTGTTAGGACCTGTCATCATTCCGTCTAGGTTGTTTAGGCTACCTAGGGAGAGTGCGTCTGTCATGCTGCCTTGGGGGGTCAACCCCGGTTCTTTGGTTGGGAAAGGTTGTGGTGAATCAGTTTAGGTGCCTTTGATGGATCATAAGTTCATGGTTAAAACAACGATTTGGAGTATATTTACGTTGAGTTTTGTTTGTAGGCATCAGATTGGAGTCTAGGACCAAAAGAATGTATACTACTGCTTGGATGGCGCCCTGATGTTGCAGAAATGATTGAAGAATATGATAATTATCTTGGACCTGGTAGTGTATTGGTATGTTCTAATGTTCTTTAAGAAACTTCATCATATCTGCTATTTTGTTTGAGGTCATATACAATAATAAGATTTTATTTCGTTGCTTTAAAATTAGGGGGAAACTTTTATAAATTTGGTTTCCTTTAAGGCATCATAGCATAAAACATCTCATAAGATTAGTTGGTCCATTGGGCCGAATACTGAGTTATCATTTTTTTTTTAATACATGTGGATCTGCATCAGCCATCAATAGAATGACATCATCATTCATTCATTCTTCTTATTCTTCTTCTTCTTCTTCTTCTTCTTCTTCTTTGTTGTTGTTGTTGTTGTTGTATTGGTTTGCTTTCACCTCTTTTGAAATCAGACACAAGATATATTAATGTCTTAGATCGTGCATTAAGTTCTTAGATTTTAAATATGTTGCTTGAAATTTTATTTTTTAAGATCCATGTATGTGTAGGAAATATTGTCAGATGTGCCAATGGATGACAGAAACAGGGCAAGCAGCCTTGCTGGTCAAGGCAAGCTCAAGAATGTCCGGGTTTCCCATAAGGTACTGTTTCATCAATATGGTTAGAACTATTCATCTTCGTTCTTTCTTTCTTCTTCTTCTTCGTCTTCGTCTTCGTCTTCATCTTCTCTTTATTATGATTATTATTATTACTATTTAATATAAGTTTGGAATACCTTCTTTACATTCCTTCAAATCCGTCATGATTTTTTATATTCACAGATTGGGAACCCCATGGACTATGATGTCTTAAAGGAAACCATTAGTAATATTCAAAAATCTTTGAAGAATGAAGATATTCCCTTGTCAATCGTTGTAATATCTGATAGAGAATGGCTGCTTGGAGGTAATGGAACATAATATTTGTATTCTCTTAAACTAGCTTATCAGTAATTATTCTTTCTTCAGATCCATCGAGGGCAGACAAACATTCCGCATATTCCCTTCTACTTGCTGAAAATATTTGCAACAAACTTGAAGTGAAGGTGAGCGCAACTCATATTAAATTATCTTGAAGGATATTAACGTTTATTTCAATTGTAAATAACATGAGTACAGCAACTACTTTTTCTTTTCTTTTCCCGGAAATCTGCCTAATAGAATTTAGAATTAAGGAGAAAATTCTCATTTAGGTTGTGAAACTATAAACAATGGGCTAATATGATTGAGGCTTAACATGTGCAATGCTAGAAGGATCCAATTGTATGACCTAGCGAAGCATGCTAGCCGTTCTCTTTATCTTGTAATGCCTATATAGGGCATACATGGGCAACAAGCCCCATTTGGAAGCAAGGAAAAAACGCAATATTATGTCAATGTATAATGTGTAATTCAATATATTGTCTATGGTAATTTGGTTGATATCATTGCATATATGTGGATGTGTGGGTACCCATTTGTGTCAAAATGCACTTGTCTTCATGCTTCCAAACATGCTTGTAGAATTGCCATTTTGTTTATCTGTTTTCTATGTTTGTTTAAATATGGATCATATAGTGCTATATTAAGGGCATATCACTTTGCATCATCAAAAATGCTTTTAGGAAATACCAAGCGATGCTAAATGCCTTTTTCCATGTTTTTTTGGGTGCAGTTTACCAAGTTGATGAAACTTGAGGTGCCTCTTTTGACACCAAGAAGCGGTGATGTCACAATTATTATTATTATTATTATTATTATTATTATTATTATTATTGTTATTATTATTATTATTATTATCATCATCATCATCATCATCATCATCATCATCATCATCAAGAGAGGGATTATCGTATCTAACTTCCTCCCTTCCTCTCTCTCTTGGTGAAATGTGTTGAGGTTTTTAAGGAATTTTATTGAACAAAAACAAAACATAGAAAGCTTTCTTGGATTTACTCATTGGGTACTTGTAACATAATTGGCAAGTTTGTGCCAAAAACTATAGAGTTGATTGTGGGAACTTGTCAGGTAAATTCCTATTTATATTGTACTTTGATTTGTACAAATCAGGGATTTGAACTTGCTCATAATGTATGAAAGGTTGTTTGTTTGATGAATGAATTTGATAGGTTCTGTTGTGTTTTACACGTGTAGTTGGGCAATCATTGCATCAAAATTCAAGGATAAATCAACCAGGCAATGTAGAACAAGGTTAATTATTTTATAAAAACATGATTTTTTAAAATTTATGATCTCCTTTGTCTTCCAATAATTCTTTAATTTTCTGTTTTTTAGTCTAACCCCAATGTTGATGTGACATACCATTGCAGATGGTACACTTACTTGAATTCTGATTTCAAGAAAGGGGGTGGTCTCCAGAGGAAGACTTGCTCTTATGTGAGGTAAAATTGATGCTTTCTGAACTCAAAAGTCGTGATATATCAATACTGACAAGCTAGTTTTTCCTTTCTATTACTATTATTGATATATTTTCTTTTGAACTATATATGTAACATTATCTTTGGTCAATCATTAATTTCCTTAAATTTTCTTTGAGTTCATTTGTTTTGTTGTCTCCAATGGTCCACCAGATAATGCCAAGTGTATTTCAAAATTAGATAATTATTTCTCCATTATTGTCTGTGGGAATTTGATATCTTAAGATCCACTGCAGGCTCGAAAAGTATTTGGTAACAGATGGACTGAAATAGCCAAAGTGGTCTCAGGGAGGTATATAAAGTTGTAATGTTTTATTTCTTGCATGGCATTGGAAAAGTTTGTGGTAATTACAAATTAATTTCTTCATCTATGCATACAGAATTGATAATGCTGTGAAGAATTGATTTTCCAGTGTGTAAGAAGAGGGCAAAATATGAAGCCTTAGTGAAAGAGAATAATAACACTTCATACATCAATCCAAACAACAAAAGGGTTATCTTTCGAGAAGTTGTAGCATTAAATTTCCAAGGATATAAATTAGAATTTTTATGGTCTTCAATTTGGCATTGTAATTCAAATTTGAGCCAATTTGTGTTCTTTTATATTAATTATTAGTCAATTCTTAATCTCTGTTCCTAGTTAAATATCAAATGCCGCTAAAAGTCAAGTTTCTTGTAGTGATTGTGCTTCGATTGGGTCACCGAAGGCTAGGGTTTCCACCACCACAGCCACCTTCATCATCATCAGCTTCCTCAAATTCTACATTGACGCCGCTGTCTTCTCTTTCTCTCTCTGCTTCGAACCCCCATGGGAGCTCTCCGGTACCTCTCTCCCTCTCTCTCTCTCTCTTTCTCTCTATGCATAAAAATTGAATATCAATGCATTAAATGAAAGTACCCAAGACAAAGAGACCTTACACTAGCATTTTTGCCATGAAAAAAATGTATATCAATGCATTAAAGATTGTACTCAATTAGAATTGCCAGTTCAGTAATCAATAATCAAACTATATGTTCCATCGACCATTAGAAGGAAAATTTTATTAGGAAAAAGTGGATGAATCACCAATGAAAATCATATAAGAAACCAAGTTTAGGACTTGATAATTCTACGGCATTAAGAAAGTTGAGAAACA